CCTGCCAGGGATCAGCAGCCCAAGACCTTCAGCATTCACCCCACGTGTAAAGAAATAAGCAAATGCCAAGTACCAGAAGCAGGGAGAGGAATGGAGGAGCCAATGAGGAAAGGGCAAGAAAGGGCAGCAAGAGCTGTTCTTGGCTTACCCAGCCCCACGAGCTAGAACAGGAAGAACTCCAGCATCTGGGACCCACCCTCTCTGTGCCCCAAATATTTTTGTGAATCTTTTCAAGTCATTTTCGTCTTTGAAGGTAAGAGAGGGGAGACGACGGTGAGAACTCTCTCTTGGCCAGATAACCCCACCAGTATTATTTGTCAACCAAGCTCTAAGGCAAGTGGCATCTCTTGCTGGGGCTCTGAGGAGCATCTGTGGTTTCTCCTGCACACCCCGCTGTCTTCTCACTGGGGCTTGAACAAGATATTCTAGCTGCCCGCCATCTCTTATCCCCAGTCATCCCAGCGTCTACTGCATCCTCACCATGCAGCTCACGTGCCTTCCTCCACTGCACACCCTCCCCCAGTGTAGACAAATGGAACTGTCCGCCCTTCCACCTTTTGTTTGGTCACAGCTAGGCTCATTCAGATAACTGTGACTACATATTTCTCCTAATAACCCTTGAACTCCTGGATGTCAGAAACTTTGTCTTTGATATCGTGTATCCTTAACAGAAAAATACACAGTTTAAGCCTAAAAATTCCCAATCCAAGTCTTTCTAGTCAATTATTCTACATCATTTGTTCATTCATTCATCAGTCATTCAAAATTGCGCGTCGACAATTCAAGATTTTGAATGACTGATGAATGAATGAACAAATGATGTAGAATAATTGACTAGAAAGACTTGGATTGGGAATTTTTAGGCTTAAACTGTGTATTTTTCTTTATAAAGAGCTAAAGATTAGTAATTAATTAGAGTAGACACACTTGTTCTTTTAAATAATTATCACAAATACATCTTCACTATTTGATTTCAGTAGGTAGGGAAAACATAAAAAGAATCTAGCCAAGATTTTAATATTGTGACAATGGCTTTAGATGCATTATTCATTTGTTTTTCCATGTTCCATCTTCACAATTCTGTGGTCTGTATGTCACAGAAAATTCTAATGTGGTATTTCCCATATGCTAATGTGGCAAAGCACTTGCTTATGTTTACAGATTTAGTCAGGGTTCTCTGACCTTGGCCCTGCCTCTATCTTCCTGATAAACTGATGGTGGGGTCCCTAACTGACCATCATCCTGTTGCAGTTATTCACTTTAACTGTCATAATGTTTTTCAACTTTTAATATTTTTCTTTTATCTGTATCTCTGTGTCCAATGTCACCTGCCAAGCTAGGGAACATTATTTTCTACAGATTTGCTTATGTTCATTTCCTTATCTGAGAGCCACAAACTTCTGATGATTATTAGCTTAGAAAAGTAATAACCATTAGGAAAGTGGCTCCTTATTTCCTGTCTTTTTTAGTTTTTGAAATAATTAGCAATGGGAAATTTACATATTTTCTAAATAACTGAATTTATGAGATTGCAATACAATTGTATTATCATAATTTTATATTTTTTCTTTGAAAGTTTTTTTCTTTAAGATCATGCAAACAGAGCTAATTCTTCAATAGTTACCTGTGGAATTCAATTCTTTATGTACATATTAGCTCAAACTTCTATAAACAGAACTTGAAAACATTTATATTGTATAGGTCTATCCATATTTCTTTAAGATTTTTAGTCTTGCATTCTTTGATTAGTTTTTTTATTATATTGAGTATTATACATAATCCTTTTCCACAAATACTTTTTATTTGTATTTTTCTTAGAAATCCTTTACTTTAAATTTGCTTATAAATATGAAAAAACAATATAACTATTAACTGATCTCTTTGTAGCTTTTCATTATCTATATTAAGAAACCTGCAAACAGGTATATTGAATTCTTCAAATGTATTTGTATTAAGATACAAGGGTAGTTCATGGGCTCTTCTGGTAGCTATTGCTTTGTGGTTATTCAATTATTTTATTAATGAAGATGTACTTTCAGTTTCTGAAGTTGTTGAAATAGAAATATGTAGGTTGCTGTAAATAAATATGTAAGTTGAATAATTTTTTCTCTTAAATATTTATAGATAATATTATTTTGCATACTTCCCCAATAATTAATTTATTCATTCATTCAAAATACTATGTAGTAGGAATTGCACCTAATTCCAACAGACAATTCCATGTCTAAGTGCATAGGCTTTGGAATCAAATCCCTGGGTCTCTGCTTCCTATACCGGTGTCTATAAAACAAAGATAAGTTATTTCAGGTGATAACAATCGCTCTTCCATAGGATTATTGGGAAGGTTGATGAAATCACATGTAAAATCTGCAGGGCACACACACAGTGAGTTCACAGAGCATGGTAACCATTATCAACATTGTTGGATGCTGACCAGATGTGATACACATTAACTTCTTTCTCATCTTCTCTGAGTAATAAAAAAATCAGCAATTCTTTCCTTTATAAATTCAACAGTAAAACCATTCCCTTACAGCCTTAAAATTGCCACCGTTCGGCAAAAAAGTCACTAAGTTCATTTCCCATATAACAGAATTGTAGCCAATTTTCTGGCTGTGTGAAGTGGCATTTGACATAAAGATCACCTCCATTACTGTCCCATCTTGGGCTGATGCACTGCTGGCATACTGTCTGGAGGCCTCTTTCAGCTCTCTCTATCAGTACACACCTTCAAGTCTAGGCTTTTGAAAAAATGATAGGAGAATCTACAAAGCCTGGGAACTTGGTCTTTCTGGGCAGCCACTTCTGCTTTTCACACCCAAGGGATTCAAACATTCAAGCTAATGACCTGAGAACAGAGTTCTCCTGCCCCTCCTGAGGATTCAGCCAAGACAGCCCAAGCTTGGGCAGTCTGGAGCAGACTCTCGCTGTCTGAGCCTGTTCATGCTATACCACTTGGCTAACTGCCTCACAGAGACACTTCACACGCTCATTGGCACATGGATCAGCCTGCTTTATTTTCCAAGGTCTAATCACACTTTATAAAACTTCTAGAAATAATGGTTGGCCTTTTGAAGGAAAAAAAAAATCTATTTGGAGCTTGGGTTGCAATTGTATGACATAATAAATTTCAGATAGATTTGTAAATTATATGTAAAAAGCAGAAAAATAATTAGACAATTTCAATTTATTAAGGAGCTGGAAAAATATTTGTAAATTGTTTTCTCATTTTTAATGGCAAAGGTATTCTAAATTCAGATAAAATAAAAGGAGCCGATCCCAAAGGAATGTATGATCAGATATTACCAACTAGAATATGTTTTGCTTAATTTAATACATCAAAGTTTTTAAAATTATAAGAAATTAACAAAGTTTTTGATCTGGGCTTGGGGTGATGGTAGGGAATGTTTGGTTTTGTAGTTACACTGCAGGCTTGGGACTCCCATCTGCATATTAGAATAACTGGGTTTCAGCCCTAACTCTGCTCCTGATTCCAGCTTCCTGCTAATGCACACCCTGGAGGGCAGAAAGCAATGGTTCAAGTCCATGACACCAACAGGGGGGATCTGGATTGAGTTCCCCTCTCCCAGCTTCAGCCTGCCTCAGCTCTGGCCATTGACAGCATTGGGAGCTCTGGCTGGCTGGCTGGCTTTCTGTCTCTGCCTCTCAAATTTAAAACAAAATGACCCCAAAGGAGAGAGGCTTACTCTCCTGACTTTGTAAAGGGTCCTCATAAGCCAATAATAAAATTAATTATTCTTAATTATAGATTGTTTTAAATAGATGTATACATTTAAATTAATGTATGCTTTTTAAAGGGATAATACTACTGCTTCAAAGAGTTTCTAAAAGGATTAAATTTGATAATGCATGTAAAATATTTAACATTATACTAACATATTGCTGTAGAGTAGTATTATAACTCATTTTCACATGCAGGAGTTAGAGTTGTGATCACTTTACCAGTAAAAAGAGGGTTAAAATAAAGGTCTTTTTTTTTTTTTTTATGATTTTAGAGTATGTATGAGTATAAATCTTATAAATTTCAGGCTTCTAAACTTGAAGGAGATCTGGACTAAGTCATCTCTAGCCTTTATAAGCAGCCACCACAGTAGGAGAAAAATCATGTATAAATAATGTATGAATACATTCTACCTGATGATTTCACTCCGGGCTTCACTAATTGAAACACAAATGATTCAACGCCCCAAAAAACAGGCTGTAGCATCACTCCCCAGTCCATGTACGAAACGAAGAGCACAGCAAGTCTGCCTCCCATCTGTGCGGCAGTGATAGTGGCTTGTCAGCTGTCCCAGGCAAGAAGGGATATAAAAGGGACTCCCTACGCTTGGCTGAAAACAGCCCAGAATATCTCCAGGGATCTCAAAGGATGACTTGTGATTTTCATAAAATTCCTTGGAAAGATTTTTATCCAATTTGCTTGAAAATTTCTATATGTTTCACCAACTACAGTAAGGAAAGTTTAATAAGAAAATGTGGACAAACAAAATACCAGAAGCACTACTTGAAGAAGAAATGGATTTAGTTGGCTCGGTCATAAAGTGAATCTCAGTGGTTTTGCACAAAATTTTTGCTTAATATATTCATTATATTTCTCTAAATTTCCATTTTAATTATCATGAAGAAAAGGCAGCAGCCCTTTTGCCAAGTGCCATAATTTATACTCGCTCTAGCAAGATAAGTAATACCACTCTAAATACATCATAAACAAAATATTTATTAGGAAAGCCTCATTAGCATGCATTTCATTCCGATAATAAGGTTTAGGAATTTAAATTAATATCAGTGTTATTCGAGAACATGGCTATTAACATTTAATAATATTTAGCATTTATATAGTCCTTTGTGTTTCTAAAATACTTTAGTCATTAATTAATTAAACCTCAAATTATCATTGTGAGCAGGTTCAGCTCATGGTTTCTTCAGTTATAAAATCATATTCATGAAATCTTTTAACTTTCCTAACTAGGAGTTCTCACCAACAGCTGTTTTCCAGAAAGTTCTCACATGCAGAATGAGATGTCCTGCATATCCAGGGAAGAGCCCCTTCGCAGCAACCTGCCAAGGAAGGTCAGCAGAGTTAGTAGTGACGACCAGAGATGGACAACAGATAGGAGGCTGGAGCTCTTAAGCCATCGTGAAATACACTGATTCTTTGCCTCCGCTGCTCCTGGTCTCCATCTGTGTACCACCACACACCTACATGGCCCAGCCAAGGTTTAAAACAGATTTTTTTTTTAATTTATTTATTTTTTGACAGGCAGAGTGGACAGTGAGAGAGAGAGAGAGAAAGGTCTTCCTTTGCCGTTGGTTCACCCTCCAATGGCCGCCGCGGCCGGCGCACCGCGCTGATCTGATGGCAGGAGCCAGGAGCCAGGTGCTTTTCCTGGTCTCCCATGGGGTGCAGGGCCCAAGCACCTGGGCCATCCTCCACTGCACTCCCTGGCCACAGCAGAGAGCTGGCCTGGAAGAGGGGCAACCGGGACAGAATCCGGCGCCCCGACCGGGACTAGAACCCGGTGTGCCGGTGCCGCTAGGCGGAGGATTAGCCTAGTGAGCCGCGGCGCCGGCCCTGAAACAGATTCTAACATTGAAATCCATACTTAATATTTATCTATCAAGAGTATGTCACAAACACACCCCTTGATTCAAACTGAAATGGCCTGGGCACAGAAAACATCCACATCTGGGGAGTAAAAACACACTCTGGCCGGTGCCGCGGCTCACTAGGCTAATCCTCCACCTTGCGGCACCAGCACACCGGGTTCTAGTCCCAGTCGGGGCGCCGGATTCTGTCCCGGTTGCCCCTCTTCCAGGCTAGCTGCTGTGGCCAGGGAGTGCAGTGGAGGATGGCCCAAGTGCTTGGGCCCTGCACCCCATGGGAGACCAGGAGAAACACCTGGCTCCTGGCTTTGGGTCAACGTGGTGTGCAGCCGCAGCACACTGGCTGCAGTGGCCATTGGAGGGTGAACCAACAGCAAAGGAAGACCGTTCTCTCTGTCTCTCTCTCTCTCACTGTCCACTCTGCCTGTCCAAAAAAAAAAAAAAATACACTCTGGAAAGCACAGTGCAATTCATTCTGATAACACAGTTGCACACAGAGGGAGGCCCATCTTGGGCAGGTGTTCACAGTGTGCAGTGAGGGGGTGGCTCGGCCAATCGGGGAGAGATGGTGGCCCAGGAAGATTCCACAGTGGGTGTCGGTCAAGAAGGTCACCGGGGCCCTAAATCCACATAGGCCCTTGGCCTCCTCATGGAGACCACCCATCCCTGCTTACCCTTTGGGTCCCTGACTATAGCCATGGGCTGTCTTTCCCAGGGGATCCAGAAGAGTCTCAAGGCAGGTGTTCATCTCATCCTGCGGGTGAGCAGAGGCCAGACCCCACGGTCCAGCCGCAGGGGGCCTGGGCAGGAGTTCTCCCACCTTCCTCAGAAGCATAATTTTATTAACACTAAGTTGGGAAAAACCTCTGGAAACATTCACACACTGATAGAAGAAAGCCTAAATTTATTATCGGCAGGGAAAAAGAAAATTATTATCATCCATCAGAGTGGCAAAGAAGACAGGAAAAGAGTCTTAATGCAGTCACCCTGTGGGCCTCGTCCCTGCTCTCTCCTGCTCTCTGCAGAACGCACAAATGCTGCCTTTAGAATATAACTGGACTTGTTGGAGTAGTCAGGGCAAAGTTCCCACATCTTCAGTGGTCTGGAACACACCAGGTAGGGGTCACCTTTTATACCAATCAAAGCAAATGTAACCATCAAAAACAATGTGCTCAGCCTCACAAGGCTACATAAACCCTAAATACCCTACGAAATACCTTCCTTGGGGAGGGAAGTGTCCAGGTCGTGCAGCCACCTGTTTTCCATGGATCTTCACTGACCTATTACAAGCTGCAAACTACCCTTGATATCTTTCGACAATGTCTAACTGTGTTTCTAGACGGAGAGAAGCACAGGAAGGAGGGACCAATGCTTGCCTCAACCTTAACATTCTATGTATAAACGTTGAACTGACAAGCTAATATCACAGAATCCAAATCTCCATTCTGAATCCTCCCTTTATAATATTTAATGGTTCCCTGTGACCCATATACAATGAAAATCCAGAGGCCTTGATCTGATATTTAAACCTGTTAACGGTGCCCATTTGCCCGGCCCACTCCTTCCCAACCACTGCATACAAAGAGTCTCAGACGGTCAGGTTCTTTTTGAGGGCTCCATGAATGCAGTGGCCAGTGTCCCAATCTCTGGACTTTTGTGTGAGCGGCTTCCATCCCCTGATATGCTCGTCTATTTTTCAGTTTTCCCTGGAACATTGTGAGATCCTTGAGAAGATGGGCTAGGTATTATTCACTCTTTTATTCTCACTGTACGTACAGAGCTTTTTGAACATGGTAGGCATTCACAAAATGCTTTTCTAAAAAGAACTGAATTGAAAAAAAAAAAGTCAGGTTTTTTTTTTTCATGCATGCTACTGAGAAACAGCATTGAACTCCAACACATTTTTATCTAAGAAAGACTGGTAGCATAAAGTATTTTTTCAAAAAGAATTTTTTTCAATGTAAACTCAACAGAAAGATGACGGATCTGGTCAGAAATAAGACAGCTTCTAGTTAGTCACCAAAATGTAGAAACACTGGCTAGGAATGATTTTATTGAACAATAACAAACTTGCCTGTGTTTAGTAAAGAACTTCTTAGGCAAGAAGATCCCAATTAGTCAAGTTTACACTTATATATATGAATATATATATGATGTATATATATATATGCTACACTGTTTCATATATATATATATATATATGGGAGGAGCAAGCATCATATTAATTAAAAACAATAAACCCACAAAATGAACACACACCTTCCCAAATGGGCCAACCTAGCCTGTAAAACTTCCCAACTACAAGTCAGATGCTGTGTCAATGAGGATGTCTTTGTGAGTGCCAATGGTCATTACATCTAAAGCAGTCAACACACACATATGGTCGTTGATACACACACACTCACACACATATCACCTGAGGATATTTGAACAAGTTCATGGAAAACATAATTAAATGGTAAATTTATTTTGGTGCAAAAATGTTTGAATCCAGGCACAGCTCTTTACTAATATGCATTTTCCATTAATTTATTGGAGTCTTCTCATTTCTTAAAATTACAATTTTAGCTGAATCTCTGTTTCTTTTAAAACATTGGGGCTATATTTGTGGATCCCCCCACCTCTTGAATAGAATAACAGAATAAAAGCCTTACGTCTTTAAAAAATCAAATAAATGTGACATTTTAAAAAATATGCCATAGATTTCTGCCTTGCACAGGATGCTAGGCTACATGCTAAGAACCAGAGGACTGAAAACATCTTTCCTGGATTTAGTAGGCCTGTGTCTACCTAGCAAGCAGACCAGGTATGTATGCAGACATTAACAATGTGACATGTTCTGGAATAATGCTAAGAACAAAATGCTGCCAGAGCAGTAGTCCTATCTAAAGAGATTATTAAAAAAAAAAAAAGAGAGAAGTATTACTAAAAAGGCTGCTGTCAAGCCAGCTAGGCAGAGAACGGCAAAACTCTTTGCAAGAACAAAAGAGAAACAAGGGAAGTTTATGGTAACTGAATAGACCAGTAAGTACGTGCATTAGGGTGGAGGACACATTGGCTGGCAAAGGTGGTAAAGTTAAAGACTAAACAGACAACATCAGCAAGTAAAGCAAGCCTTGTGGAGACTGAAGCAAATTGCACGATGCATGTGTTGTCTGGAACGGCAGGCAAGTACACAGCACCACAACTACACATGCATGTCAACAGCCAGGATAGCAATTATCTTAATCCCTCTTCTGTTATTACAACAAAACACCCAAGACTGGGTCATGTCTTTAGGAGAGAAGTCTTGGCTCATGATTCTGGAAGCCGGGAAGTCCAAGAGAATGGAGCTGGCATCTACTTGAGTTCTAGTGAGGGTCTTCTGGATGCATGGTAAGAAGGCATCACACAGTGAGATGGACCTCAGTTCTCTCTCTCTCTTTTAAAGCCCCTCTGCTACCTGGGGGCAACTCCATGACCTCATTTAATCTAATTACCTCCCAAAGACTTCACTTCAAAAATCATTAACACAGGAATTTGAGGAGTCCGTTTCCAACATTCAAACCAAGGCAGTGTGAAACCTACCAATGCTTAACTTGTAAAAACTGATTTCAAAATAATTATCCTGTGTAATAGCGAAGAAAACATGTGTGCATTAAATTCAACCTGCTGGTGGGTATATGGATCCAATCACACAGGTGGTAAGACTGGGTAAGAGAGAAAAATGAAGTCATAAAGGTGTGTTGCACAGGTGATGAAGGTGATCAATAACTGGTGGTGTCACCATCTAATCATGTGTCAAAATTTACCAGATACTCTAAAAATGTGACTTGATTGATCAATTATATCTTAACAATGCTATTTTAAAGTTAAAAAGAAATATACCTGCCAACATCAAAAAACAATAAAGTTAAAGTAAGTGAGTTTTCTTTTCCCAGAGTTTTTCTAGCATCCTTTGCCTCGTGGGGCTAGTGCAAGACAGCACAGGCCAAGAGAAAGACCAGGTGATGAACGCGAGCCTGTTCCAACACACACCTGCAATGCAGAGAGCAACCTGACGGAAAGCAGTGAAGAGAATCGGAGCCATTAAACCCGTCCCTCAGTCTCCATTCTCCTTTAGTCTCTTGTTTCTAAGAAATTAGATACCAACAGAATCACATAAAATGAGAAGACAAAACCTAGGTGGAGGGGATACAGAAGCCCTGGGGCAGAAAGGATGTGATCGGACCTGTGCCGCCGACCCCCTATTTCTGCAGCCTGGTTCTGCCAAAGGGCTTGCCCACACGCCTCCTGAAAGGCTTATTCTGGACCCATGTTAAAACGTGTGAACCATGATGTGAATAAAGAATGAAAACTGCTCTGAAACTGAAGATTATTGTTAATCAGCTCACCCTCCAGGCTATTAGTAATTCAGCAGCAATATGGCCCACTTCAGACAGGGAGAGGGTTCAGGGCTGATGGGTGGCGGTGAA